CTTGTGTATAAAGTTAAAATCATAAATAATATTAAAAACATTTTATTTAGGCCTATCTATGGCCTTCAAAAAGTTGACGACTGTACATGTTTCGACGTAACGAACATGTATTACCCTCAAAATTACTGAAATAAGATCTTCTGTCCTTAAAATTTGCTTACTATTTATTACATAATGTTTTGATTTTTAATGAAACTGTCGTAAATAACAGACACAAAACAACAGTAATTTACTAAAACATTTATGATGTAAAAAGGAACTATTAATAAACGTGTATTGCTCTAATAGTTAATGAAACACTATATATTTTTGTTCAAAGGATGCTGTTAAATATTTGAATAAGTATTCCTAAAATTCTACTATTGAAATTACTGTCGTTACTTGTACTATACTTAACAGTATGCGTTTGCTCTGGATGTCAGGTTCTTTGGCAGTACTGTAAGTGAGAAATTATAAAAGAAATTTAAGTGTTAGTTGACAACGGTGTCACATATGTCTTAATACTTCGCGCAGTCTAGGTTATTAGTATACGATGTCTATGATCCAAAGCCACTTGTTACAGGTTCTGAATCATTTGTTTGAATAGGCAAACGTTTCTTGTTTCGAGCCGGAATGACAGTGTTTTTCGTCAAATATTTTTGCAAAGTATACAGGCTGCAGATAACAATAAAGATTGTGATTGTCGGGTAAAAAGAGATTGGTCACACGGCCCGCTTGTTGGAAGAAAAGAATGCATTAATTAGTATATTTTTATGATGGAAATAATATGTCTTTTTGTAAATTCAAAATAAGAACCATTTTTAAGATATAAAAAGACGAAAGAGAAATGTAAGTTATCTATGAATTTCCAATTTTTTGATACAAAACAACATTTACAAGTTGTAATATTCCAAACGTTTGATACAAAACAACATTTACAAGTTGTAATATTCCAAGCGTTTGATACAAAACAATATTTACAAGTTGTAATATTCCAAGCTTTTGATGCAGAACAACATTTATAAGTTGTAATATTTCAAGCTTTTGATACAAAACAACATTTACAAGTTGTAATATTCCAAGCTTTTGATACAAAACAACATTTACAAGTTGTAATATTCCAAGCTTTTGATACAAAACAACAATTACAAGTTGTAATATTCCAAACTTTTGATGCAAAACAACATTTACAAGTTGTAATATTCCAAGCTTTTGATACAAAACAACATTTACAAGTTGTATGCGCATTTTTAAAATTTTATTTAAAGCAACCCCTTCCTCCAACTTTACGAATTAACTCAACACTGGCATTCTTGCTAATTCGTAAAACTTGGCCAAGAAACGCTGGGAAAACCCCAAGTTTTTCGCGATTTTGTTTCAGAAGAAGAAGCTTTTCAACCATTAATTCACTGACATTTACTTAATCTTGAATTTTTCTTTGAGATATAAAAAGATAACCGATTTAAGGTTAGTAGTATTACAAAACCTGATCTTGAATCATTATTTTATTACACATATTGTAGAGAAATTTTTTCTTACTCTACATAATTTAAGATATCTTCACCAACGTTTTCCACGACACAGAGATATTATCACCAATATTAATAAAAGAAACATGCAGCTTGATGTAATTTGGACTTTTTTAAAACACTATGTTTGTGGAAATGATGAATTGAAATGTTATCATCTGGCATGATGTCAGACTTTCGTTACAGTCATTATTCTTCAAATCAGAGGTTTGCTTATAAAACCTTGGACTACTTTTTATAAGGTTCTTTTTGCGATGTATGTTAGTAGTGTGAATTTTAAAACAACATGTTAACTAGGTTTCTATTCACAAGAAAAATATAAATAACTAAAACTAAATACTAAATCCACGTCAGTTATTTTGCAGAATCAATTTACATCAATCTTTTAGAGAAAATTCATTAGAACACTCCCAAATGATCTTTAAGAAATTAAAAATGTGATTTATCGTTCCTTGCCAAACTATCCGGGGAAAACCGATTTTAAAACATTAAATCTTTTGTTCGATAAAAAACGTATTAGGTAGAAATCTGGGTCACGGTTGTTTTATTACTCACAGATATGAGCTTCTGTATGATTACGTTATATCACCCCAACTGTATAAATACGAACACATCCAGAATACCTTTAACATTGTCAACTAATTTACAGCAGAAGTCAATCATACTTGCCTTGACACAATCTAAACATGAGGACAGTGGTAAGTGTTGCGTAGACGAATCTATGAGTTAATTATATCACCTAACTTTGGTAAAACCCAATAGTAAGAAAGGGTTGGAGTTATTAAATGGCGCCATTTTAATTTCACAAACGGCAATTCTCTTTAGACTAACAATAGCTCCTGATCATAAGATAACTGAGTGAAATAAAACAATTACCAGTTCTCATTAGAGTAGCACTGAAGTCATATAACACTAATATTGACAAAATTCACTCAGGTTATCCTTGTTGGTAACGGTGTTGGCGGCTGTGATTCTAATAACATTAAGGTCAAGATAGTCTGATATAGATCAGAGCGGAATATGTTTTATTTATATACATTTTTAGCCAATATATGTTATAACATTTCACGATAAAAAAAGAATATGTTAAGATATTTTAGGAAAATCTGTATTCTTTAAAACCTTTAAATGTTAACAAATATACATGAAAGTAAAAACATTTAGTTCGAGAAACTTTCCTCGAAAAAAACACGAGAAGTTGTTTGATTGTGATAAAACTCTAAGAGAACTGAAGTTTGATGTTTTATTCGTTACTCCAGGTAGCAGTTCTGCTTTTGGTTACTACAGTCTACACTTATGAAAGTAAAAAAGTCGTTTCTGTAGGAGGCTACGCAAGGGACGGAAACAGCGGAAGAGACGATGTAAGTCAAGAAGGTTACGGAGGTTATGATGGCTATGGGGCACATGGAAGTAAAGGTGGACTAAGCCGAGGTAGTGGCGGACTAGGAAGTGGTTTTGGCGTAGGAAGAGGTTTCGGAAGTGGTTCTGGAAGTGGAAGAGGCGGCAGCGGTAGGCTAGGAAGTGGTAGTGGTTATGGCACTGGAAGAGGTCTCGGAAGTGGTTCGGGAAGTGGAGGAGGTCGTGGAACTGGGTTTGGTACTGGATTTGGAAGTGGTTCTGGAAAAGGTTCTGGAAGTGGAAGAGGTCAAGGCAGTGGGTTTGGAAGTGGAGTAGGATTCGGTAGTGGGTCAGGAAAAGGTGGTGGTCGAGGTTTTGGAGTTGGCTCTGGTAGCGGCAGTGGCTCTGGTAGTGGAGGTGGTCATAAGCGATGGTAACAGACGTTCTAAGTGCTGAGGTTTACTTTTCTCCATGTAAGTAGAAATAGTTAGAGTACTGTAAGCTTTGGACTTGAAAATTTTGTAAAGTTTTACTTATGATGCAAGAAACGTTAACTAAGTAATCAACCATATTCAAAACAAAATGTTTTGATCAACCATGACTTTCAAGTTCATAGTTGATAAATACATTCTTCTCAGCAATGCAGAACTCTCTATTAAGTTCCGAGCTTTATTATTCAATTTCTATATCGTAACAAGAGTTTCTAGTACTGTAATTTAAAACTGAAAGGATGCAAATAGAAACAAGCAGTCATTTAAACTTGCCTCTTGGATAGGTCAGGCTGGATGAATTCCCTTCTCAGATGCAGATTTTATATGTTGTGTCATGGCAGTTATTTGTGGTAAATTATGCACATATTAAATTACCCAACACAATAATAAAATAACGAGAATCTAATATTATAGATACAGCAATGTTTGTTTCGGATACTTACGCAAAGCTACACAAAGTCTATCTGCTCTAGCCGTCCCTAATGTTCAACACTGATGGATTAGAGATAAGACGATGGCCGGACAGTTCGCTACTGAACATTTCGCTAGCGGTCTTTTCGTTACTAGGGTATTTTGCTACCTCATAATTTTATGTCATAATCTCCCTTACATATCTTATTTAAGATCATAAAATAAAAATATTTCGTCAGTATTATTTCATTAGAGAAACACTCCAGTCAGTAAAATATTAGAAAAGATTAGTAAATATTTCTTCAATATTAGTTTGTGAGCAAGATTTGTGTAGCTGCTAAAGCAACGGGACCCTAACTTAGGACCTGAAGATCCACAAGTTGTAACGATAACCACTAGGCCACAATGAACTCGCTAAGTGTTTTAAAACGTTGTACATAGCTCCTTCTACCTTCATTCGTTGTCAGCCATCTTGATGATCAGCCCCGCAAATCATCTGTCCTTTAGCTCAAGCTGTATGTAAGGAATATATAAATGAACAGTTTAAAATGTATGTCTACTTTTTCATATCGTCATTGAAGTTTATTACATGGAATGTAAATGCATATCATTTACAGATAAAAATATTCATCGTGAAACGTTTAGGCTTTACCGTTTTGCCAAGTATTATAGTTACTAACAATGCTGGAACATACCTGAAGGGGTACCTCGGTGGGTTAACGGTAAGTTTCTGGAATAACAACAGTAAAATCCGGGGTTTATTCTGATGCAGATAGTCCATTGGGGAGCTTTGTGATAAACAGACAAGAGCAACAACAAAAACTGCAGGTAGTCCATTGGGGAGCTTTGTGATAAACAGACAAGAGCAACAACAAAAACTGCAGGTAGTCCATTGGGGAGCTTTGTGATAAACAGACAAGAGCAACAGCAATAACTGCAGGTAGTCCATTGGGGAGCTTTGTGATAAACAGACAAGAGCAACAACAAAAACTGCAGGTAGTCCATTGGGGAGCTTTGTGATAAACAGACAAGAGCAACAGCAAAAACTGCAGGTAGTCCATTGGGGAGCTTTGTGATAAACAGACAAGAGCAACAACAAAAACTGCAGGTAGTCCATTGGGGAGCTTTGTGATAAACAGACAAGAGCAACAACAAAAACTGCAGGTAGTCCATTGGGGAGCTTTGTGATAAACAGACAAGAGCAACAGCAATAACTGCAGGTAGTCCATTTTTCAACTGTCTGTCGAAAATTCGTTGAAGTTTATGTACGCTGACAAATAGGCCTGAATAAACTCTAATACAAGATTGTATAATTATTCTAATAACTTTCAGCTGATGTTCTACAGTAATAATTTTAATTATTGATAGTCTTAAGTATGAGTAACTATAAAAAAAGCTTCTATGAACACTACTCTTGAGCATCATTTGGATACCCCAACTGCTAGCAGTTTTTACAGAATGAAGTTCGTGTGCCATACAACATCTTGTATGAACTATATTACATCACTTAGCATATGTTAAGTAACAAATGCAAAAACTAGAGGGTTATAATTCTTGTGTAACAAAATATTTCGTTAATTCTAGTAAAATGAAATAAACCATGTTTAAATCCTACTTTATATTCAACACAAGCTCACAGTGGTATGTACGTGTGTGTAATTAAAGTTATACAGATATTTAGTAAACATTAGACTGATAGGAGCCGAAACAAATATATGTATATATGTACGTGTGTGTAATTAAATATACAGATATTTAGTAAACATTAGACTGATACAAGCCGAAACAAATATATGTATATATGTTCGTGTGTGTAATTAAAGTTATACAGATATTTAGTAAACATTAGACTGATACAAGCCGAAACAAATATATGTATATATGTATATATATGTGGGTGTGTGGGTGTGTGTAAATTTATTAAAAGTTCATGCATGCCAATAATTAAGACGTATTATGTAGTTTATAATTTTGAAAATCATGAACTTCATGAGTCACTTGTACTTTATTAATTTACTTAATTTTATTCACATGTATTGATATCTTTATTTCTTTCAGGCTACTAAGGATCCTGGTTCCATCTAAAGCAATCATGTTCTGAAATTCTTCCTTCATCAATTGATATACTTTACATTACCTATTGCATGAAAAAAAATACATACCTGAAGCTACTGTAAACTCAGTTGTGAAATAAAGAGCTTTAAATTTTAACCTCATGTAAGTGTTCTAGAATAATAAATAAATTACTATTAGTATTCATTTTCATTCACTATAGTCATGTAGTGTATCATTTCAAAAGAAAACGTATTTTCGTAAACGTATCTCTAAGCAATTTCAAACGCATCTAGAAAAAACACAAAATTCGTGTTTCATTAATTTATTCTATAGGATCTTTCCAATGCGATTACTTTCCAGAAAGATTCGGAAAGTTTCAAAACTTGCCGAAATTAATAATTTTAATGGTCAAAATAAACGTCGCTAATACGTACGATAAGCCTATTTTAATTGTATTTTGATTGAAGGGTTTTTCCTATATTTCATTACGAAACGTTTTAAAGATTTGTGTTTTCACACACCACAAGATAAGTATAAAGCGTATCCAGAAAAACAAACAAGTTTCAACAGCTAATATCTACTTATAAACCTGTACAATTTTTGTACGTGGTTAACAGTGTTCGAATGTTACATCCTGTAACTACAAGCGAGTGGAAACCATGACTGGCGCTCATCACGAGTTGTCGTTTTAATATTTATCCACCAATGATCTATATTTTGTACAATAAGTTATTTCTAGAAGAAACAATACTGTTGATAAAGAATATATTAGCTTTTTCATATAATAGGTACATTTAGTTAGAAATATTTAGAAGAACTTATTTAAACAACTGGGACTCTAAAGATATAAAATTTTATATTTTGCACTAGATCCATTGTTTTACAAACTTAGCATTTTGGACTAAAACTTTATAATAAGTAATTAATAAATATAGAAGGACACAATAGATCCGATTATCATGTACTTGAGCAGATAAAAATATCGTTAAGCTGTTTCTTTTCTACACAAATTACAGATATATTACCTAAAACAATCAAGAGAAGCGTACCTAAGTCATGTTGGCCATATCCTTTTCTTTGACATTTTAGCAACAGGAGAGTTAAGGAGAGTAAAGTTATAATATGAAATTTAATTTCTATACCAGAACCGATTGATCTTGATGTCTGGACTTTACTCTCTATACCAGGACAGAACGTATTTGGACATCCTATTCTGTCACATAATATGTCTGTACTTTATACTTGGACAGAACGTATTTGGACATCCTATTCTGTCACATAATATGTTTATACTTTATACTTGGACAGAACGTATTTGGACATCCTATTCTGTCACATAATATGTCTGTACTTTATACTTCGACAGAACGTATTTGGACATCCTATTCTGTCACATAATATGTCTGTACTTTATACTGGGACAGAACGTATTTGGACGTTCTATACTGGAACATAACATGTCTGAAATTTATATCAATCTTTTAGAAAAAATCATAAAAAAAATCCCAAACTATTTTAAAGATTTATCCGCGTTCGGCAAAAAATTGGGGGAAAACCAATATTAAGTTGTTGCATTTTTGGTTCAATAGATAAAAATTGTATTCAGCAGCAGAGTTGTTGCATGGCATCACCATCTCATAGGAGACAAAGGGGTGGAGTTGTTGCATTCCATCATTTCATAGGAAACAATGGGGTGGAGTTGTTGCATGGCATCATTTCATAGGAGACAATGGGATGGAGTTGTTGTATGGCGTCATCTCATAGGAGACAAAGGGATGGAGTTGTTGCATGGCGTCATCTCATAGGAGACAAAGGGGTGGAGTTGTTGCATGGCATCATTTCAAAGGAGACAAAGGGGTGGAGTTGTTGCATGGCATCATTTCATAAGAGACAAAGGGGTGGAGTTGTTGCATAGCATCATTTAATAAGAGACAAAAGGGTGGAGTTGTTGCATGGCATCATTTCATAGGAGATAAATGGGTGAAGTTGTTGAATGACATCATTTCAACCTCGGAAACGACAATTCTCGGTTTTTAGTTTTGTTTCTCGTAAACAGGATTTGAACCAGGATCGCTTGTTTTGAATTTTCGCACAAAGTTACACGAGGGCTATCTGCGCTAGCCGTCCATAATTTAGCAGTGTAAGACTAGAGGGAAGGCAGCTAGTCATCACCACCCACTGCCAACTCTTGGGCTATTCTTTTACCAACGAATAGTGGGATTGACAGTCACATTATATCACTTCCACGGCTAAAAGGGCGAGCATGTTTGGTGGAACGGGGATTCGAACCCGCGATCCTCAGATTGCAAGTTGAGCGCGTTTTCCTTTTAAAGGGACACAGTTTTTCATGCTATCATAATAAGATATGGAGCAATAAATTCACGACGAAGTGTGAGAATTCTAAGTGTGATTTATATTCTGACGTCAAGTTTTAAGTATGACAGATTTAATCTTTCGGACACTGCAGTTATTTTTACTAA